CGAAACACCCCGGGATCAGCCGGTCGAGCGTCGCGGGCCCACGAGCGTGCCATCTCTCTAGTTCGGACCTTGCGATCGTGATTCGCCTCACGTCCTCGAAGGTTGGGGGTTCGGGCCTGGAATTGGGACCGTTCGGCCTGTTGGGATTATACAACACGAGAGCGGTGCTCGATTCTCGGTCGTCGTCGGGGGCCGGCTGTCTCGTATGGGCCCTTTTGACTTTGTTAGCGGGCAGGGCCGGGCTCTTGTCATTTTGGTTTGGTTGGGAAACCATGGCTAGCCACCTGCGACGAGGCGTGGACGGACGGGGGATTGTTCGGGACGGGTTTAGTGGTCGGGATTCAGCTAGTGTGGATGTTCTTGAGCCGGAAGCCATATTGGTAAATTCAACCTGATGAAAAATAACTAGCTGCAATTGTATAAGAAGTGCAACAAAACAATAAGAACTGATCAAAAAATGAGCAAATTGATCAAAACAATGATTTTAGTTGACAACAATCATAATATAAATTGGTGATATTAAAAACTATGTCTTTTGTTTTTCTCGCGCAACAATTTTACATTTCTATATATAAATGTATAATTAAGAAATAAGGAGAAATTATAATTAATTTTCCTCATTGTTCTTACATTTTTCATAACATCTATATATATAGAAAATATTATGATATGTATCTTTCTCATGTGTTCTTAACTATGTAAAGGGACACATGAGACACAACCGATCATTGAAACAAGTTAGATCGAGCGATTATCATGCGATAGTATCGAAAATAACATGCAAATTATGGGACATTTATTCGAAACTAACTATATATAGAATAACGACGTATAATTTACGTATGGATAACAAAGGTTTTTAAGCTTCTTAACGGCCGACAGAGTCGAAGTGTGGGACCACATGCTCGGCTAGGTGGACTTTTTTAGAGAATCGAGAACGATTTGGAAAAGTCAAATGCGTGTCGACGAATATACATCACCCGAGACAACTAACTTAAACTAACTTGAGAGTTGAGATGATATCAAGTTGAAGTGTAAAACTGAACTCACTTGAATGAACTGCAGCAAAGGCAACTCATTAATGAACTACCAAAATGAAGGTTTACTTGATTTAGCTGATAAATGTTCAGTTTATGTTGCACTCTTATATGAGATACAGGCAAAATTTTCCTGAAAAATATATTTTATACATTATTTCAAAGACAACACCTTTGAAACACACAACCAATAATACAACTACCAAAAATGGAAAGAAAAATCATTAAAAATAGTGATAAAATAAGTAAATAAATTTATTTAGTAAAAACAACAACAGTTGTAGCATTAGTGAACTAAAACTTAATTTAATTATGTGTTATGAACCAAATGTAAAATGTATTATCAGTGATATATATATACATAGATTTGATTTTAGGATATTAAAAGAAGTTGTAAATTAAATTGAATTAAATCATATAAGTACATTCTGTTCATCATCACTAAGACATGCAATCTGAAGCCCAATCCAAAAAAAAAAAAATGAAAAAAAATAAAATGAAATGCATGCATATGGATAGAGAGAAGGCCACTGTTACCAGGTAATTAATTAAGCACCAAACATTTCTTGTGTGTGTTAGTGAGAATGTGATTTTGTGTGTGTGTGTGTGTGTGTGTGTGTGTGTGTGTGTGTGTGTGTGTGTAGATATTACAGTATGGGTTGGGTGATGTGTGTGCTGGTGGTGGTGTGTCAGTGTGTGTAATTTACTGCTTCTCACTTGCTTTTTTGGTATTTTTTGGTGCCTTGGTATTCATTCCTAGGACAGGTGTGAAAATGAGGGTGTCAAAAGATTCCAAATGAGGAGATTCAAAATTGAATGAATTGATATTATTTAGAAATTGAGTGGCCGGTTTTGCTATGAAGTCAACCTTCTATATACAACAAGTAAACCTACTATGTATTTTCTGATTTTACTTAAATAACGATAATATAATTTTGTTAATATGATATAGTTTACTTGTTGTATATAGAAGATTGACTCCACTATGTAGCCAACTGTTGGCTTCATAGCAAAACTGAGAAACAATTTTGTTACGAAGCCAACAGTTGGAGACAATCTTCTATATACAACAAGTAAACCATATCATATTAATAAAATTTTAGGTATTTCTTTAAGTAATCAGATAACATGGTATGATTTACTCGTTGTATATAGAAGGTTGACTCCACTATAGAGCCAACTGATGTATATATAATTATATATAGCAAAATTGTAAGAGGAAAAGACATTATAAGTACTAAAATAGGTAAAAAAAAAAAAAAAAA